ATCTCTGTTGTGTGAATATTGTGTTATGATACAGTAGTTCAAGCCAAAATTCCCTGCTAAGGTTCAATGTGGGAGTAATAATAGGAATGATACATAAAGAGTGATAGCATATCCATATTCAGCTGATAGCATTTTGGGTTTTTTATATTAGGGGCCATATGCGCTGCCTGGATTTTCAATGGGAAAGTGTAGCCCTTTTTCTGAGATTGGATTACTTCATAGTGTTAATGCTTTCTGGACACAAATAATGTTGGAAAGAAATGCTGAGTTCCTTCCAGATTTATGGAATAAGTGGAGATGCATTTGTTACCTAAATGCTGAAAGTTAAAAGCCTGCAATGTAGCTGGCTATATCTATAGGAAAGCAATGGAAGTAAAGTTAAGTAAGAGAAGAGAAAAAGAAAGGTAAAGCTCATTTAAACTGTCCAGCCAAATCAACATAAAACAAAAATGAAGTTTTGTCCCAGGCTCACAGTTTTGTCCTTCTTCATGTTGCTTTATTTTGAGTCTCTACTCAAATAAACCAACAAAGCAGAAAGAGAATTTGGAGAGATATGTGTGCATCATAAGAAAAGTATAAACTATATTCAATTATTATTAAAAATATTACAATAAAAATTTAATAAGTGGAAGATAGTGTTACTGATTCATTATCAAAGTCAATATATATACTAGTAGGAAAAACATTCATTATTTATATAAAAGTGCCATAAAAACACCAAGACAAGTACTGATACAGTATTTTGAAACATTTACACTCAGCCTATAATCCAAGCAGTCTGTGTGGTACTCAGAACCCTACACAAGCTTATATATTTAAGCTCATACGACTATGTACATTGTGCATTTTATAAACCCTATAAGCTGCTGGCTGCTTGTCCAAAGCTCTGTTCAGGGCCTGAATCTAAAATGGATCTCTCACTCAATCCAGGTGCTTAGACTGAATGACTGTTTAAATTTAGCAGTAGTCTACAACCTAAAGTTAACAAGTTGATGTAAAACATTTGCAAGGTAATGCATTAATTCACTCTTTGATCTGCTGTCATAACCCAGTTTAATAAGTTGCACTCCATTGACTATTAATTTGTTTCCAAATGGTGTGAGCAGAAGGAATGGTTCCAAAATGCTTTACTTTGCCAGTAATGCAAATCAAAGTTAGGCTATCTATTTAATATGCATGATTGCTTGGTGTAATGTAATTAAAATCCTACTATTTAAATTATCCTAACAGTAAAAAAAAATTAAACTTTAAATGTATTTTCAAAGTACACTTGCTTCTGCTGCTAAGAACAATTAATTTTAGAAACTAATTCATTTATTGGATTAAGCTTCACTGTTCTTTAAACACTGTAAGATTTATTGGGCCTTTATTCACCCTAATGGGACATGAGTTTGAAAGAGTATATTTGGAGATTGAATGTGTTGCTCTGTTATTTTTTAGGTTACCAACAAATTTAGGTCTGAATCCATTGAGGAAAATTTTCGATTAACAACCGCTATGTTCCCAACAGCTAAAAATAATTGCTTTGTAATAAGGTAGGATAATAGCAGTACTCACTTTTATGAGTTACACTGACACTTACTTCCTATATTTGCCACTAATTTTCATAATTCTGATATATGTCACATATATGCAAGCATATATCCTCAGTAGCTTTCAGTGGTGATTTTAGAAAAGCTATAAATCTCCCCACTGCACTGCATCCTTTACTGCATTTACAGTATACAGGTTCAGTAAAAAAACAAACAAACAAAAAAAAACTTGTGCATGCAAAGATGTGAAATTCCGGTCAGTCCTCACAAACTCTGGAAACTCCAGAGGAAGTTGACACCCCAAGAAATGCTTGTCAAGATAGGAACTGGTTTGTCAAGCAACTGAAAAAATCTCAACTCTGCCTCTCACACAAACAAACACAATACACACACACACTCCTCAACTACCACAATGATCCGAGGGTCATTAATTCATTAATTACATTTTCTTTTAAAATCGTCAATCGTCACCCTAATTAACCGATGATCAGCAAGGGGTCCCTTAAAATTGATTCCATGTGCAATAAGAGTTTTCTTCTTCTTTTTTTTCTGTCAACCAGGCGTTATGGAAAAGATCCAAATGTGTAATTTGAAGTGCCTCTGTTTGAAGCCTTTGATCTCGCCTGTTTTGCAGAGCCTCGGTTCGTCATTTGCGACGTGTCGCTGGTACTCTGTGTATTGCATGAGGAACTACTGTTGAGCGATAGGCTGTGTATGTTTGCTTATGAGAATGTGAAATTGTGTCATCTGCATAATTACCGTCAAAGAGCTCTCTACTAAACAGCCCTCAAGTCGCTTGTGTATGATTGCCCTCTTTTTACAGCACTTACAAATTAAATTGGCTCTAGCGCGTTCCCGGCATTCTTCCCCAAGTATTAACGCATTTAAAATAAACAACAATTATTATTATTATTATTATTATTATTATTATTATTATTATTATTATTATTATTAACACTGACATTATTATTATGCATAAAATGATCTGCTTTTACAGGTATATCGCTGTGCTTTGGCCTAGTACGCGTGTTTGCTTGTGTTTAGACGGAAGTCAAGCAGAGGTTAGTTTACTGTTTAGCAAGACTCTCTCTATTTTTTTAGGAGAGAAGGGAGCAGCGTCTTAATGCTTTTATGGCTACGCCAGTTTCCCAGGTCGGTGAGAAAGTGTTAAGTTAGTGCGTGGTGTTTGATTTGAGGCAATAAATCACAGCCCTCGGTGTGGGTATAGAGGTGTGTGTGTGTGTGTGTGTGTGTGTGTGTGTGTGTGTGTGTGTGTGTGTGTGTGTGTGTGTGTGTGTGTGTGTGTGTGTGTGTGTGGCGGGTGAGTGGAGGGATGAGGGGGAAGGGGGGGGTTCGAGTTAAAGTAGTCCGGGGATGAGACACGTGTCCATCCGGACTCTGGGTGCTGCTTAGCGGACAGCAGGAGACAGACACCTCGCTGGACTTTCTGGATTTATATCCTCACTTCTAACGTTCAGCTATTACGACTCTCTCTCTCTCTCGCTGGCTCTCTCTCTCCCTTCCTCTGTCGCTCGCTCGCTCTCATTTAGTCATACACACACGCCCGCGCACACACATGGTTTTCATTCTGCAATATGGTGTTTGAACTTGCTTTTTTTTTTTTCATTTTTAAGCTTTACCTTATTCGTGCTGTTACACCGTTGTGCGTCAAAGTATTCCTTATACCTTCCACTTATCTTTCCCCTCACTTCACTGTCTAGACCCCTCAGTTTGCAGGTCGATGTGATGTGTGTCTGCGCGCACGAGTGTGTGTGTTAAGTGTGAACGTGCTATTGACTGCTATGTAGTGATTACCATTCCAGTCGGATGGCACCAGAAAGCCGTTGTAATTAATAACCCCATAATCCGGGTTGTGGTGGATGTCGGCGAAGAACACACACAGATTCAGGACAGAGTTTAACAGAAACAAGGCGTATCCTTATGGGTAGCTCTATATAAGAAATTATAGCTGTTATTATCCCTCCCAGACAATGATAACTATCTGCTTCCAAAGAAGATTAAAGGTTTATACAAGTTCAGAGTTCTTGGAAACCCGGATCGCATTATCAAAACTGAAGAGATTGATGGGATTTTATCTCGCTGTCAATAATACATAAAGATTTATACCATATTTAAATAAAGTGTTTGAAATAATAATTCAACTTTTTGTAGTTGTTTTGCAAATGATTAACAAAACAGATGCTGGTACAAAGGCGGATTGAAAGGCGATTAGGGTTGCCCCTTACACATTTTATTTATTGATTCATGGAATTTCAATTCTGACTCTCTTGTTTTGTTTTAATCCGCACGAGTAACAAGAAACATCCGGTCGTATGAAAATTATCAAATGGATTACTTTAAGGTGCAATATGGCCGGATGACCGTTTTGCGTTTTAGTGGATTAAAAGTGTTTATATAAAGCCACTGAATAGTCACTCAATCTCATCATGTTCAAAATTATTATTATTGTTGTTATTGTGATTTTGATTATTAATATTATTTGTTTTGCTGTTATTGTTGTTTTCTAATAATTCGGTCTTGTTTTTAGCTTCTTTTTTTTTTATTTCATTTATTTCCCTCTCGTGTAGTGTCGTGTCCCAGAATAAACATCTTTCCAGCCGAATCCACTCTGTTTGTTATGACTGTTGTTACTTTACACTTAGTCTTCATTAACAGCATAATGCGCCCATCATCAGCGTCTCTTTTGATGTCAAGTAGTTTCATGCGACTCGTTTGATGTCTCAGATTAAAGAATTACTTTACGCCGAGTCTCATGCCACCAAGAGAACATAACACCTCAAATCGGTGTAAGAAAACACAGCTTGCACGCAGCGATGAAGCGATAAATAAAAAAGTGTGCGTAACCTGTGATCCGGGGGCATTTGAAGCCAGTAATTGGAAACACATTGCTCGAACCCTAGTCCGACAGGCATTTGTTATTAATAAGTACTATTTTTTCTACTTGTTATTAGCTCCCTTGCATTGGTTATTGTATTTTTAGTGTGTGGCAATTCAAAAGGAAAAAGAAAAATGAAAAAAAAAACGACTTAAAAGTGGTTATAAACTTAATTTTACGTTCTGATTTTAGAGTTTTAACCGATACCCTTTCGTAGCTGAGTCTCCAAGTTTGAGTCTCCAGAGAAAACTTTCTTCTGTGATTTTATATTAAAAGCAAATTGTAGCCCAAAAAAAGTTAATCAGCAAACTGCTTACGTGTATCCGCGTGGTCAAATTGTGCGAATTAATACAAAAATTGCGGTTTAGGCCAGACGCGAACAAATAGCAAATGAAATAGATTGGCGAGCCATAAAATGAGATTTGAAACCCCATTCAAATAAGAGCTCGCGACGTCAGTGCACTTATCCGAAAGAGAGGGAGAGAGACACAGAGGGAGAGAGGGAGGGAGGGAGAGAGAGAGTGTGTTTGGTGTGTGGTTTGTATGAGTGGGGTGAGATTTGAGAAATAGGAGGGGCTTCTAAACGACTAAAAATGTCAATCTGAGAAAGGGAGTCCCAATAATCTAAAGCAATCTGTAAGGACCTGACCTTAGTCCATCCAGATCAATAGGGAAGTGAGGGTGGAAAGAAGAAGAGGAGGAAGAAATAAGGGGCGCAACCGGATCGTTTACACTGGCTGTTCCCGAGGAAATATAGACTTCCCTTGCTTGCACCTTTTGTTGCTCACATGCTCACACTGTAAAAGTGGATATCGAGGCAATTCCATTGCTTTGTGTGATTGCAGCAGACCTTTTTCCCTTTTCCTACCACCATGTCTTTCCCTCAGCTGGGATATCAGTACATCCGACCGATATACCCGCCGGAGCGCCAGGGGATCGCCAACAATGCCCGAGCCGGGACAGAGCTCAGTCCGTCCGGGGCACTTTCCAACGTCCTCTCGACTATGTATGGATCTCCTTTCGCCGCAGCAGCGCAAGGCTATGGAGCGTTTCTCCCCTACACAAACGATATATCAATTTTCAATCAGTTGGTGAGTTGTTCTCCTTTCGCTTAAGTTATCTAAAAACTTTTTGTCGAAACGTAAGCTACACATGACACTGGGATAACTTTATTCCTTTTAAGTTTAAAGTTTTAGAACGCCGCGTTGAACTTTGTAACTGAGTAGTTTGTAAAATATGGTTAAAAGTGGATACAAAGTGACACATTAACAGTGCGCTTTAAGCCTTTTATGCGCATTTCGCACATAAATTCCGGAAACTGATAGTAACGAAAAAAATGATGCAATGTAATGTGGGAGGTTACAGGTAAAGGTGGAGAATAGTGTGTAATAGTAAATGTTTCACTTCGGAAGTGTTTGTTAAACTAAGAAATTACTGTTCCCCCTTTCATCTGCGCTTGGTGATTTAATTCCACTGCAAAAACACTTGAATCTTTTAGTTTGTTTACACTTTATTAAGAATCCCACTTTTGTCTTTATTTCTTGATAGCTAGAGAGGATTTTGCGCAATGTAAACATTTCCACACAAACTACTTGATGATATTGATATAATATGTCTAATCCCTCTTACGCGTCGATTCTTTGTTTTTACAGGGTGCTCAGTATGAACTGAAAGACAGTCCCGGTGTCCAGCACCCCGGGTTTGCTCACCATCACCCTGCCTTTTACCCATATGGCCAATATCAATTCGGTGACCCATCCAGACCCAAAAACGCCACCAGGGAGAGCACCAGCACCCTGAAGGCCTGGCTGAGTGAGCACCGCAAGAACCCCTACCCAACCAAGGGTGAGAAGATCATGCTGGCCATTATCACCAAAATGACCCTCACCCAGGTGTCCACCTGGTTTGCCAACGCCCGGAGGAGGCTAAAGAAGGAGAACAAGATGACCTGGACCCCCCGGAACCGCACGGACGAAGAAGGAAATGTTTACACCAGCGATCACGAAGGGGGGGAGGGGGACAAGAGAGAGGATGAGGAGGAGATCGACTTGGAGAACATCGACACGGAAAATATTGAGAACAAGGACGACTTGGACGACCAGGACGACCTGCATTCAGATATTAAACTCGACGGGAGGAGTGACTCTGAGATTTCTGACGGCTATGAGGATTTACAAGGGCCCGACCAGAGGTTTCTAAAGGCTGTGGGGAAGGAGGGCAAAGACGTACAGAGAGGAGCAGAGCATTTCCACAATCACCGTCACCACTCTTTGGACATGAAAACGTCCCAGCCAAACGGGGAACAGCTCAAACTGAACTCTGTATCCGTGAGCTCACCGCCCTCAGAAAACAACCCCGTCCCAGCCCAAAAACCAAAAATCTGGTCTTTGGCAGAGACAGCTACGGCCCCAGACAATCCACGTAAATCGCCGCAAATGAACGGCAGCAACTCCGCAGGGCCGGCCGCTCAGACCATAATCGCTCCTCACAGACTTATCTCTTCTTGTCCGGTTGGGAAAATCCAGAACTGGACGAACCGAGCCTTTTCGGCCCACCAGCTGGCTTTACTGAACTCAAATCATTATCTGGGACTGGCGAACCAGGCCACTGCCACCGGCCTGGCCCTCTACAGCAGCAGGCAAACGGAGGACAAGAGTCATAGTTCAGAGACTTCAGTCACAGGTACATGTCCTCGTCACTGAGACGCGCATGTATAAATAACTACAAAACAAAGACACTAGTTAATTTCATTTATTTTATTTTAGACCTTCTTTTGCCTTCTTTGCCTGTTCATGGATATTTTTTCTGCCTAGGCCACGCAGATAACCAGTGTTAATGTTACAGCAGAATACAGTGTGTGCGATGTGTGCCTGTGTGTGTGTAACAGCTTGTCCGGGAGGGCTAAGAAAAAACCTCATCAGGAAGTGTTTAAGGAAAAAAAAAAAAACATTGAAATTGGCGAAAACTCTTCTTAACTAGAGGCCCCCTTTATTTCTTGAGTTGCTGTTACGTCGTCTACTTTATTTTGAGGTCCATGCTCCTGTATTATGGTTTACATTAAGTCCTCAACCCATTAAATCACGTCGTTTTAACATTATATTCCCATAAACCCAGGATGAGCTCTGATCAAAGGAAGTTCAATTAACGCATTTTGATTTTCTTTGCTGCAGCTTCAGAGAGATCTAGTGCCTTGGATGCAGAGAAAAAGCTGTTTTTAACAGCTTTCCACGCGGTTCAAAGATAACGAGGCTGTCAGTTAATGACATTTGGGAATTTTCATTTAATGCAATATCACATTTTAGTTTAAAATGCCACATTTACCCAAATTAGCTTTGTTTCATTTTTTTCATGCGTCTGTGTGCGCTTGGGTTATTTCTTCAAGGCCTATGCTACACTAACTTGTTCAGTCATGCAAATGAGCTCAATGCAAATTCACTCCAGGTTCGTTTTTGAAAGGCAATTGTCACTTTTATATCACTTTATGTTTTCACTCTTCGTGAGACTATTATTAGTGTTGTGGTTTTTCTTCTACATTTTTTGTTACATTTTGTTGTACCCCTGTGTATTTCAGGCCTCAGAACCAACTAGACCTCAGAACCAGCCACGGTTCTTTTGGCTCTTTCCATAAACCCTCACCCACCCTCTTTCTTCTTTAATTTTAATTTGAATATGGAATGTAATATAAGAATAATACATCTCTGTATACTTACATTGTAAGCATGTCCTGTGTAAAACTGCTAATGTAATAATCTATGAACCTGTAGTCTGTGAGTTTTTTTCTTTCTTTCTTTTTGTAAGTTCTGTGAGGATTTGATGTTGAAATGTTTTGTATATAAAGTTAAGAATATGTACATACTTGTGAACCAAATTGTACAAGAAAGTCTATATTTTGGCTAATAAATGAACTGCTGCAACTTAAAAAAACAACAACAAAAAAACCAAACAATAAGATTGTTTTTTTTTTCTTGGCCGAGGTATTTTGACAGCTGCTTTTGATGGTGGCTGTTACTGTGCATTGCATGTTGAAATGCATTGCTTTGGTTTTTTGTATGTGTGTTAGTGGACAGCCCGGGGCACAGACTTCATCCTCCGTGGCTGTGATAAGTATATATTCGAGAGGGATTTATCACACTTTATATAGTGGCGGGACTTAAGGCTAATTAGCCAGTATTGCGGCATAGATTTGGATATTAATGTTGTGAGATTATCCCTATAGAGCTGTAGCGGGCGCATTAATATTTCGAATAATTCTTTCATTCATTTTCACCAGAAATTATCGTCTATCGAGAGGCTTTAAGTAATGAACGACTGTTAAAGCATCGCTGGTACTTGGTCATAATGGCTCAATTGATCCTGAAGGTGGATTTTGGCTTGGCAGTGCAACTCCCAGATCTCATCATGCTCAATTTGTAATGATTTTGCTCTTCACATATATCATACATTTTCCACAGCTTATGCTGCTCTATGGTATAATTGTAATATATCGTGGCCGTATGACTAATAATAACATCATTTATTTTGTTTGCCCGTGATGAGATCATTTGCATGTGTGAGCCCTTATCAGAGGAAGTTTATGTAAACTTAGTGTTGGAGCTCCCTCTACAGTCACTTGCAGTCGCCAGTGTTCTGATGCACTGACACTCATTCAGCTAAACTGCTAACCTTTTTTTTAAATCAATTTCTAATTAATCCATCAGTTCGATTTAAAATTCGATAGCAACATTTTTCAGTTATAATCCTGTCACAAGAAAATACCTTTCAGACCCGTTTTGAAGTCTTTGTATTATTTTTAGAACGTCCATTTGCAGCAGTTCCTCAGAGTGCGCTGCATTTGTTTTTAATATTTTAACGTGCGTGTGTGACTTTTTATGTAAAAATTCTATTTTTGCCCTAAACGTTCCAAATTATTTAATGAAACAAAAAGGGGCATTTCCATTTGAGGTGGCAAACAGCACCTTTTCGTGCACGAGCCATATATTTAAAGTGCAATAAAGAAAACAGTTACGGATGGTATATAGATCAAATTCTTCCTTTTTTTTTTATTAGATTTTGCTTGTTTGTTTGTTTTTTAACCTTTTGCGACTGCCATAGCCTCAATTTAAGTATTTCGCGATATGTGAGATGCGGTTTATAACAAATTCCATTCGTTTTTTTGTTGTCTGTTTGTTTGTAGTTATTTATTTTTTTCCTTGTTTTTCCGTTTTTTGTTTTAGTTTGTTACGATGTTGATTTTAAATGTAAACAGATTTTTTTTAGTTAAATATGAAGAAAGAAAACACACACACGAATGAAAATATATTTTATTAACCTATTCAATTTCCTCCAAATTGTTGTTAAGATCTGAAAGTCTAAGGAAGGAAGATTTTGCATTATTTATTTCAAAATAATTTTTTAAAGTTTATTTTATGAGATCGGCCTAGACTGTCACACTATCCCAGTTAATAATAAAATAATACAAATGCTGACTTTTAAAAGGGATTTCGTTTATTATTGCGTTTATATTTTTATAGATTTTTTAACACATAGCAGATTCAGCTGGCCAGTCAGAGTCTAACCGTTTAGTGCACCCTTTCAATTCCATTCAGGTCAGGAAAAGCAGACGAAAAGCCCTGATTCGCTCGAGCCGTATCCTCTCTAGGTTTGGGATGTGCTTTAAACAAACCACAACTTAGCCAAGAGAAAGGCTCCGGAGCCTTTAGCAGCTCTGGAACCCTTCTCACCATGTTGCCTTCCTGTGTAATCAATTATCTTTCCTGAGAGCCACATCTAACCACGCGATGCATATTCATAAGAGGCATCAGCCAGCTCATTGATGCAATCTCTTAAAAAAAAACAACTTATTTCTCGTTTTTTAATTAAAGAAATCGTCATCGCACTCAGACTGAAAGTTCATGATTATATAATACTAGGATAACTTTGGTTTTTTTTAAATGCTCCAAGATATTACTATGAAAAACAAACTAAACCTTTAAAAAGCCTGACAATGAATGTCCATGAATAAAATACATTTAATTAAACAATTGTTGAAGATCTGCATCAGTTTATATATTTAAAAAAGAGTACACAAATAAATGGCTTCCTGCAAAGACAGCTAGCTCCATGTAAACGCATTGAACCTTATCATAAAAAAACGATGCTTATTTCCTCACAGTTCACAGGATGTTTCCTCCTAAGGGCCCATGACTAGACTCCTCTTGATCACGAGAATTCAGCTGAAATGCTACTGAAGGGCCAGTGATCATGTCTAGAGCTCAGGGCCTCTCCTCTGATCAGTGCATGAAATTAGGGATTAAAATGCCTATGCAGAAACAAAGTAATCATGCCTGCTTATGTCACCAAAGGTGTCCAACCTGCTCCTGGTAACAAAGAGCAAATGGAATGCATTAGCTAACATTTTGTGCAGAGCTACACAGGGACCATTTCCAGTGGGGCATGGTGTGTCACTCGTTTCCTTGCACATTAAGTGGATGTTCTCTTGGCTAATGAGCAATAATCAACACTGACTCCTCTTCTTATTTCTAAGGTCCATGCTGTGTTAAATGCTCAGAGGGTGTGAGGCACACTGTAGCGCTGCAGTACTGAACTCCCCAACAAAACGCAGGCTAATCTACTCAACAAAAGGCTGTAAGAAAAGCCAAGAAGCTATAATTGAAAAAGAAAAAGTAGAAGCAAATATGACATCATTGATTTTTTTTTTTTTTTCAAAATCAGGGGTCTAAAGAAACTTGTATTATAAATGATCTCTTTAGGCAAATTTGTGTAATTAGGCTGCATATAGATAAAAAAAATACTTAACCTGATTTGAGATTTCCCATATTATTAGGCAATGTTGTCTTAATTATGCTTTCTGTCTTGTAATCATGCACTAACTGATAAATATTATAAAGACGGGGAAACACATATGCATTTGACACAGTGAAAATAAATTGTATTTCATTTCCCATCTAATTGCTTACATTGTTCGCTGCTGAGTGCTGCTCGCTTTTGCCCTCGATATGCTAAGACAGGACTACATACATGAGGAGACAAGTAATGCACTCTCGGACAGCCATTTAGAGTGGGGAAAAAAATCTGAGAAAGATGGAATCATTAAAAGGAAATCTAATCTGTCTTTCGAAGCATTCATTGATCTGGGGAAAGGTGCACGCTGAAAGGGTCTGGCCAATGGAGCCATCAGAGGGCCGCGTGTGAATAGGGAGAAACCATGGAGTAAATAAACACTAGAGCAACCCATTGGAGGGGACCAGAGGTGCCATGTGAAAGAAGAGGCCGCTGCGAATAAAGAGGGTCACTCTTGTGTTTTCACCTCATCCAACCCTTCTGTCATTGTAACTCCACCACCAGTGCCACCTCCTCCTCCTTCAAGCCCCAGCCTGGACCATTCTGCCACACCCCCTCCTGCCACAGAGACATACAAATGTCACCTCCTTTGTAGACCTAGTCAGGGTTAGAAGCAGCCCACTATCTTTGTGTGGCGGCCTAATCCTTTTATGAGCCACTGTCGACCGCGCCCACACCCAGTGCTTGCCCAGTCTATGAGAGGGGCTGCCCTTTTGCAAACGCTGAGCTGACTGCAGGAGGAGCGGTGATCTGCTCTCAGGAACACATGTTCCACACACCACATGCCTTCACATACAAGCCTACAGTCCACAACACACCATAGCAACTTGTAAAAGAAATTGCACTCTAGAGCTGAGAGGAGAGAACGTGGAGAGCTCAGTTTTAGCCCTTTCAATGATATGCTACTTCTGTGTCTCCTGCATGTTTTATGGCACATTCATTATTGAGAATCTAAGTGAAAGTGCACAGCAACATGTTAAAGAATAGCCAGGGAGCAGGGAGAGAGGGGTTGTTGTGTTTCCCTTGGTTGTGCAAAGGACAAAAGGCCCAGACGGAGTGACATTCTCTAGGCCCGAAGCGGGAGAGAGGGAGGGCACTGATTTCATGCCTTTTGTTGATCGAGGTTAGAGAGAGGAATTCTTTCACTGAATCCGAAAGGCAACAAGTGGGGAAGGGGGTAACAGGGCGACTGGCCAGAGGGAGAGGCGACGGGGCTTTTGCCGTTCACCCAGCTGAAAGATTGTGCTTTTCTCAGCCCCTTTCAGATCCTCATACAGGCCCGAGTTACAGGGCAATTATGGAAATGCAGCTTTGAAGCCAAGCATAGCCTTCCTGCACTTCTTCCTCAGGACAAAGCAAAAGCAGCAAGGGCTTTTTTATGCCCCCTCTTCTATAAATCATGTTTCAGCCCGAGTAAGTACATATTCCTAACCTTTTTTTTTCAGTGTCACAAAAAACGTAGTATGTGCCAACATTTGTGAATACTCTTTATATAACTGTGCAAAAAGAAATTGCAGGAGCAGTGTTTTTACTGAATTATTAAAGGAATTTATTTTAAGTTTCTGGGGAAAATGTGTACTCCAACATTTCTTCACTCTGTTAATCTGCCAGTAAAGCCTTGGCCAAGGAGATAAGCAAAGGGGTGGGCTTGAAAAAAAAAAGGCTGGGCCTCAAAGCTGCTTCCAACAGCTGCACAATTTTACCAGCCTGATGTCCCCACTCCACACCTTCTCCACTCACACGTCACTAACAGAGGCCCAGCAAACCATCAGCCCTGTCCTTTCCTAGCTTTGTACATTAGTCAGCGGTGTAGCACAGAATTTCACCACCTCATGTGAACTAATAAGACACATTTTCTCCAGCTTTTGAGAGGATCGCATAAGAGTGATGTCTCTACATCACCCGACACAGCAGAGGCCTTGTACAACAGTGCCTTTACACTCTGAGGGTATCTGACAAATGCCAATACTCCAGCTTTCACTCATCACTGTTAATGAGAGGACATATTTTGGACGTTTCCAATATTTGTACAGACTTCATACATTATGAAGGCTCTTTTATTCACAGTACCAGGCGAAGAAGACAAGGGTGGGGTAAGGTAGG